CACTCTTCAGAGCAGCCATTTTCTCCAGGGGAGCTGATCTCTGCCAGCTGGAGATCAGTTGTAAAAACGGGAGGTCCCCAGGCCCCACCTGGAGGCTGGCAATCCTAAGGTGAGCTGTAATTCCAGGGGATCCCCAGGTCCCACCTAGAGGATGGCATCCCTACAAAGCGTCAAGGGATGCTAAAAGAGTGTTGACAGGGTTCACCGGGGCTTTTTTTGTAGAAAAAGCCCAGCAGGAACTCATTAGCATAATAGGCCACACCCAACAGCAGAAAATCATTTGCTTATTAGGACACACCCCTGACAGCACACCTCATTAGCATATTAGGCCACACACCCCATGTTCGCAGAAGTGTGGTCATCCAGACACACTCACCTTTTGCTTCTTATTCTGTTTACCTTGTTTGTTGTCAGAACCCAGGGCTTTTTTTGTAGCAAGGACTCCTTTGCATGTTAGGCCACACACCCCTAATGTAGCCAATCCTAATGAGTTTCTGCTGTTGGGTGTGGCCTATTATGCTAATGAGTTCCTGCTGGGCGTGGCCAACTCGGGAGCCGGCCAGAACTCCGTTCCTGTGCGTTCCTGTCCAAAAAGAGCCCTGGTTCACAATTTTTTTCCCCTGGTGGGGCATCCCGGATTTCTCAGTAGCTAATTGTCAGGAGACACAATCCGACCAAAGTGAAACTCTTCCATTGAGATCTGAGAAACAGGGCATGGTGATGAGTTGCCATCCTCCAATTCAGGGCCTGGAGTTTTCCAGGAATTACAACTCGCTGTCAGGGTGGGAAAATTGGGGGGGGTGTTCCGGGGGTGGGCAGGACGTCATACGCGATGTCCCTAATGCAATGACGTCACCCAGAAGTTGCACGTGATGCTCTGGTTTGGGAGCAAAAAAACTGTGGTGTTTTTGCATTTAAAACCATAGAGTTTGCCCCCAAAAGCAGAGCGTCGCTGCACAATGTCACCGACGTGGATGATGTCACTTCCGGGTGACGTCATCATGCTGAGGACATCACACGACGATGTCCCCGTTTGAGGATGGGGTTTCCCCTCCCGGCCAGCTGGCCAGTGGTGGATCAGAGCCCCCCAAAAGTGGGGGAGCCCCTGCTGGGACCTGGGGACGATCAACCCTACCTATCCAGGTGATGTTACTTTCCATACATTCAAAAGAAATTAATCTTCCCAAAGGAGGAGGGAGGAATATTTCAAAAACAACTTAAGTCTCTGTTATGTATTGGGACTGGCACACTCCAGGACTGTTTCTACCAGAGACTGGCTGAGCTTGCAGCTCTAGAACAATAGGCCACCAGGACTCTGGAGGTGGCCAATGGGGAATTAATGGTTCTGACAATGGCCTATCGTTGGTAGTTGTTTGGGAAGTGGGTGGAGTTTGCATGCTATTTAAACAGGGCCATCACCCTGGGTCTTTGTTTGTTAGAGAACCAGTTTGGTGTAGTGCTTAAGTGCCCTGGATCTTTGTTTGTTTGAGAGCCAGTTTGGTGTGGTGGTTAAGTGTAGTGTAGTGGTTTGGTGTAGTGATTAAGTGTGCAGACTCTAATCTGGGAGAATCAGGTTTGATTCCCCACTCCTCCACCTGCAGCTGCTGGATGACCTTGGGCAAGTCATAGTTCTGTCACAGCTGTTCTTGAAAAGAGCAGTTTCTGTCAGAGCTCTCTCAACCCCACCCACCTCACAGGGTGTCTGTTGTGGGGAGGGGAAGGGAAAGGAAAGGAGTTTGTAAGCCACTCTGAGACTCCTTTGGGTAGTGAAGGGCGGGGTATAAATCCAATATCATCATCTTCTTCTTCTTCTTCTTCTTCTTCTTCTTCTTCTTCTTCTTCTTCTTCTTCTTCTTCTTCTTCTTCTTCTTCTTCTTCTTCTTCTTCGTCTTGTTCTTGCTGAATCACTATTAAAGCAGAGCTGATCACTAGGCTTGGGGTCAGACCATCCATGGAACCCAATATTTAACACTCTCCATTTTTAAAGTATCCAAGTTTCCCATATTATCAAGTCTTGTGCAAATATGTGGCTTTGTAACGACTGGAAGATACAGACTAAGAACACACAGATGTTGCATTGGCCCTGAAAGAAACATCCCTTAGAAGGCAGCCAACTCTGGATTGGGAAATACAGGGGTGGTTCCTCTGGAGGGTGGGGTTTGGAGAAGAGAGCGACCTCGTCAGGATATAATGGCCTTATTTCCCGTAGAGGCCCCCCTCCAAAGCAGCCATTTCCCCCCAGGCAAACCAGTTTCTGTTGTCTGGAGATCAGCTATGGTTCTGGGGGATCACCAGGCCTCACCAGGAGGTTAGCATCCCCGTCCCAATGCCCGAGCCCACCTGAAGGACATCCAGATAGAGGCTGACCAGACATAAGAATACTTGGAAGAAAAAAACATTGATCTTTCCGAAATGTCCTGCTTGTGTGTCAAGCGGCTGGTCTGGTGTTCCACAATCTTTGTTGCTGGTCGTGGATTGGTTCCTCTGCCGATTTTCTTGAGTAGACTGACTGACTGGTCGTGCTGGCCTTGGCTCTGACAAAAGCCACCTTCAGAGCAAGAAGCCGCTGCGCGCGTGGGTTATTGGTGTTTATTGTAACCCTTTAATAGCAATAATCTGGGATTGTGGGAGGCTGTTGTGTTTAGCTCTCCTGCAGGGCAGTAGCTGCATTTTGCCACTGCCCAGGGTTTATTCATTGCAACAGCACAGGCGAAGTATTTTGCTGGTGACTTTTACCCTGAGAAAATCTCCTTTAGCCATCGACTTACTCGACGGCTTGTATCCATTGTGGGGCTACTAGGGGAGTAAGAGGTTACCCACGTTGTCCCTGATTTTATTTTGTTGTTTTGCAACTCTTGAGCTTTGTTGGTTGTGCAAGGCAAGGCACCTAATAACAGTAATTGCAAGCCTGTTTTATTTACGAGCAATGATTATTTTATTTTATGATGCCTATAAGAGTATAGGCTTGGGGAGGGGGGGGAAGGGAACCTGCATACAGTGGAAAGGATTGGAGAATTTCTCTCCGCACGTCCAGCCAACGTCTTCTTGTACGACGCTGGTCCACTTGCTAGGGACAGGTGAGACGGCCCTTCTTTCCCTCAAGGTTTGTCTGTGTGTGTGGAAGGAGGATTCCAAAGCCTTTTTGAAATACAGGAAGGAGGAGAAATAAATACGTACAAAAGAGGTAGAATGTCTAATTTATTCCAGCGGAGTGCTGCATGCATTCTGGTCTACATGACTAGATCTGTGTACACAACTTCCCCATGGATGTTATATTAAGAACATAAGAGAAGCCGATGTTGGATCAGGCCAATGGCTCATCCAGTCCAACACTTGGTCACACAGTGGCCAAAAATAACAGGTGCCATCAGGAGGTCCACCAGTGGAGCCAGGACACTAGAAGCCCTCCCACTGTTGCCCCCACCCTGCACCAAGAACACAGAGCATCACTTGCCCCAGACCGAGAGTTCCTATCGATACCTTGTAGCTAATAGCCACTGATGGACCTCTGCTCCATATGCTTATCTAATTCCCTCTTGAAGCCGTCGATTCTTGTAGCCGCCACCACTTCCTGTGGCAGTGAATTCCATGTGTTAATCACTCTTTGGGTGAAGAAGGACTTCCTTTTATCCGTTCTAACCCGACCGCTCAGCAATTTCATGGAGTGCCCGCGAGTTCTTGTATTGTGAGAGAGGGAGAAAAGGACTTCTTTCTCGACCTGCTCTATCCCATGCATAATCTTGTAAACCTCGATCATGTCACCCCTCAGCCGTCGTGTTTCCGAGCTAAAGAGCCCCAAGCTCTTTAATCTTCCTTCATAGGGAAAGTGTCCCAACCCTTTTATCATTCCAGTTACCTGTTTCTGCCCTTTTCCCAATGCTATAATGTCCTTATTGAGGTTATAGTCTTGCTTAGCTTAGGGATCCAACTAATTGCCACATTTGGGGTTAGAATAGAATTTTTCAGTGACCAGGAGGTAAGGGGGCCATGCGGGTTTGGGAAATAACCTGGAGATTTTGGGGGTGGAGCCTGAGGTGGGTGGGGTTTGGGGCGGGGCAGGACTTCAAGACTTCACCCTTCAGAGTAGCAGCCATTTTCTCCAGGGGAACTCGTCTCTCTTGTCTGAGATCAGTTGTAATGCTGGGAGATTGCCAGGCCATACCTGGAAGTTGGTAAACCCACCAGGGGAGAGGCTATTGTAACATGTGGCTTGACTCGATAGCGTGAGCCATCTCAAGCGCCGCATAATGTCTTGGCTTTCTGCTTCCGCTGAGTTGATTGCCAGATCCAGGTTGGGAAACACGTGGAGATATGGGGATGGAGCCAGGGGAGGACAGGGACCTCAGCGGGGTACAACAGAAGAACATAAGAGACGCCAATGTTGGATCAGGCCAATGGCCCATCCAGCCCAACACTCTGTCACACAGTGGCCAAAAATACCAGGTGCCATACAGTCTGCCCTCAGAAGCAACCATTTTCTCCAGGGGAACTGTTCTCTGGGGTCATAAGACCCAAAGAGACGCCAATGTTGGATCAGGCCAAAGGCCCATCCAGCCCAACACTCTGTATCACACAGTGGCCAGAAATACCAGGTGCCATCAGGAGGTCCAACAGTGGGGCCCGAACATTAGAAGCCCTCCCACTGTTGACCCCCCCCCCCCCAAGCACCAAGAAGACAGAGCATCACTTGCCCCAGAGCCCCTAACTATACCTTGTGGCTAATAGCCACTGATGGACCTCTGCTCCATATGCCTATCTAATTCCCTTTGGAATTAGAGATGAGATGACCAGTGACCAGGACCAGAACTCCAGCAGTTCTGGAGATGAGCTGTAATTCCAGATGATCTTCAGTCCCCACCTGGAGAGTGGCATCCCTAGGAGAGGCCCAGGCAGAAAATGACTCCAGTAGGAAGACGCACCAGGTCTTTTATGGGAAATCTGTTTACAAGCGACGTTGAGCAAGAAGAGAACGAAATAAGACATTCCACTCCGCTTGACAGGTTGGAAGGCATGCGTCTCTCTGCATCTGATTATCGTCTCTGCCATCTGCCTGTCTTTTGCCACCCTCCAGACGTGGGCCTTCCAGTGCCCGGTGGCCCTGGTCCCTTCGAACGCGCCTGAGCTTCCCAGGCGGCAGCGGTACAGCTGCCGAAAGCCGGTTCTGTGCCAGACACTTATAGATCGTTTACAAAACAGACTTGCTCTCTCTCTCTCTCTTTTAATATTAATGCTATCGTGGCTATTCCTACCGTCTCTCTATTACTCGAGCAGTAATTGCAGGCAGGTCGGGAGACGTTCTCCCTTCATCATTCTCCCATCTTGTGAAATGTTTATGAAACACCTTCCCCAAACGAGTTATGCAACCGGGCAGGAGAGCTTTGATCACTTTCCATCACCCACCTTTTGCTGCTGAAGTGGTTTTTCCCCCCCATTTGGCTGAGGCGAGAAATCCATCAATCCAACGTCAAAGTAACCCAGGCCCAGCAAGGCAACTGAGCAAAGGCTCTCCTCAGGAGGTGGTATTCCCTTTCACAATGGTGGTGTTACCTCCCAAGTAGCAATCGGTTCCCCTGGAGGAAATGGATGCTTTGGAGGGTGGGCTTGATGAGACTGTACCCCGCCGAGGTCCCTGTCCTCCCCGGGCTCCACCCCCCAATCTCCAGGAGTTTCCCAGACTAGATCTGGCAACCCTACCTTTGGATTTTATTTGTTTTACAGGCTTGGACCCATTTTATTTATTTATTTATTAGAGTTATACCCCACTCCTCCACATGCAGCTGCTGGATGACCTTGGGCAAGCCACAGTTCTCTCAGAGCTGTTACCTCAAGAGCTGTTCTGGAAAGAGCTCTCTCAGCCCCACCTACCTCCCAGGGTGTCTGTTGTGAGGACGGGAAGGGAAAGGAGTTTGTAAGCCACTCTGAGACTCTGAGTGAAGGGCGAGATATCAATCCAATCTCCTCCTCGTCCTCCTCCTCCTCCTCCTCCTCTTCTTCTTCTTCCTCTTCCTCCTCCTCCTCCTCTTCTTCTTCTTCTTCTTCTTCTTCTTCTTCTTCTTCTTCTTCTTCTTCTTCTTCTTCTTCTTCTTCTTCTTCTTCTTCTTCTTCTTCTTCGCTTCTTTAGCTGAGTGGCCCTGCAGTCTCTCTACATGAAAGCGATCAAGGGTTTAGACAGGTGTCCCCAATGTGGCACCCTGACGTCTTCTCTGGTGCCCACCAGGTGTTTTTAGAAAGTGGGCAAGGCCCAGATGGGGCTTTTGCCCAGCAAGGCTTCTGACTGACCACTGGAGACTTGGTTGGTTGTGCAGATATTTGGAAACATGGCTGTGGCAGCAGCTGTGGCAGATCGTCACTGCAGGACTGAAGGTAAGCTGGTGTCGCCATTCTGTGGCTGGCTTCACCTCCTGTGGGTGCCATTTTGTGGCAGCCATTCTGCACCCATGGCAACCATGCTATGCCAGAATTCCAAAGGTGCTGTCAAGGTCCAAAAGGCTTGCGATCCTTGGGTCTGAGAAATGGCCCTCCAAGGAAAGGCCAAAGAAGGGGGAAAGGGCCGACATGACAGATTTATACAAGTTGAGGAGGCAGGAAGAGACAGGGAGAATGTTGTTTCCTGGCAAGAACTTTGAGATCCAGGCCAGTCCTTTACACGACACATAATTTCGCTTTTAACGTTTACTTGAAGATGTGATGATGACCACTAACTTAGATAACTTAAAAAAAAATGGATAGGGAAGGGATACATTCATGACTTCAGCCAAGCGAGCTAAATGGAAACTCCATGCTCAGGTGCAGGCTACCTATGACTAAAAGCAACAGGGGTTCAAGCCACCACCTTGTCTTATACCTGATCTTCTAGGGACTTTTGGTTCACCCCCGTATAAAACCATTGACCCCCCCCTTTTTTAAACCATCTTAAAGGCACTAGGAATCTCAAACTCAAAACCAAGGCTTTGGTTCAATACCCTTGGTGCCTTTAAGGTGTCTTGCACTTGGTTTTAAATGGGGGGCCAACCATATGTCCCTACAAGAGCACATATAGGAGCTGAGACACCTGCTCCACACAGCAAGCAGCAACAACAATAGTCTTGATCTCAGATGTGCCACAGCGCCACCATTGCAGATGGCTAGAGTGGGGTACTACAGGTTCCAGCTCAGCAGAAATCAGAGATTCCTCGGTCAAAGAGGTCCCGTCTGAGCACCGGCCTAGCTCCTCGGTTCGAGCAACTACCCGATTCTCTGATTATCCGGCCTGCCACCTGTGGAACTATTCTCATGACAATGTTCTAACTACCGAAAACAGGAAATCTAGAAAGATGTAACAGGCGGTATGTTGAAAAGCCTGTGGGATATATATATCAAAAGAGTTAGTGGAAGAACAGGGTATTCTATTACACACCTCACCTTTTACCAGGGGTCATTTCGTAGAAAAAGAGGTGCAGGAGCTCATTAGCATAACTTATTTGCATGTGCCACACCCCCTGACATCACCGGAAATGTGTCAGAAGGCAACACCCACTGCTCAGGCTCTACTGGACTGTTTTGGATTGCTAGCTATGAGGGTGCCCCCGCAGATCTGCCCTAGCAGAGGAGGGAGAGCTTGTACCTGAATAAACCTTGGCCTTAAAGGTGCCACTGGACTGTTTTGGATTGCTAGCTGGGGGGGGGGGCACGCAGATCTGGGAAGGAAGGAAGGAAGGAAGGAAGGAAGGAAGGAAGGAAGGAAGGAAGGAAGGAAGGAAGGAAGGAAGGAAGGAAGGAAGGAAGGAAGGAAGGGCTTCTTGCTTCTCATGGCCTGGGGTGTTGGGAGCAGGGGGTGGGGCTTGTTGCATGTGCCCGCCCCCTGGGCTCTTTACTGCCGGAGCTCCGCTCCTGTGCGCTCCTTCAGGAAATGACCCCTGACTTTTACTAATGCCAGACTCCAAGCACTGATATTTGGAAGTATCGCTGTCTCTCCCTCTCTTACTCTGTTCTCTCCTAATGAGCTCCCAGATTTCTTAAAAGGAAGAGAAATGAGGCATTTTTGATGATTTGGTGATTTTTGATTAGCTGAGAATTTAAAACACATAAGAAAAGCATTGCTGGGTGAGAGAGTAGGACCAACTAATAAACTTGCTAACTGGCAGGGATTTTGCCTTTTTGGTTAGCATCACTTATCTTTTAAAAATAAACCCAAGTATTTTGTGTGGGGGAAGGGTTATCATTTCTTCTCTATTGACTACACGCCCGATCCGCCCTCCCGGCTCCACCCCAACCCATCTGAAACTCACCAGGCTCTGCCCCTTCGCCCATTCAAACCACGCTGTGGCCCCGCCCGTTTTGAAACTCACAAGTTGGCCACCTGACCAGCTAGCCCGGCCTCTGTCTCTAGCTGTGACTACCAAAGAGACCTCGAAGATGTTAGCCCATGAGAGAAGATGGTCTCTTCTCCATGTGTGAACGCTTGCTTCAAACGAGAAATGGGTTGATGCGGTTCACCAGGATGCGCCGCTTTCTTTGTCGCGATGCTGGAAAGTGCCGGATGGGGTGGGCTGGAGATGGGAGACCCGCGTTCGAATCCACAGCCCTCTGTTTCTAATTGGTTTGCAAAGTTACCGGCCCGTCTTCAACCTTGTGGTAAGTGTGACAGGCCTTCTGGGGGCTCATTCCTTTTTGTTAGGATCCCCCCCCCTAAAATTTCTACCTCCTTTTTTTCAAGAACTGCTCTGCAACTGGAACAGCTGGAGGAGGGCAAGAAATGCGACAGGCACAGCATGTCTCATGTTGGGATTGCAGAGACGTGTGTGGGGGGGAATGTCCTGTAGGATTTCCTAGCATAGGAGCCTCCACCAGAAAAGAAGGAGTTGACCCTGTTACCAGCACCCTTGTACCTTTCCAGAATGTTCCTGAGAAACGGAGAAAACAAAACCCACTATCTCCTGTTCCTTCACACCTCCTGTACGTTCGGTCTGGGCAATCAGTCAGACGAAACCCCAGGGAGCTGAACAAGGTTTTGGATTTTGTTCCAGTCATTTGCATGCAGTTTTCTTCGGGATCTGCATATGCAACTGGGGCTTTGTGAACAGGTTGGCTCCGGAGCCAGCTCATCGCGGTTTGGTTGTCTTTCCAATCGTTGGTGAGCCGTTCGTATTGGAAAGAGGACAGAAGTCAACCTAGAAACCAGGTGCAGCAGAGGGGCGTTTCCCCAGGGGTTACCGCTTTTGGTTTAGTTTGGTGTCAGTTCTCCCTTTCCTCATGGTAGTTCAAAGAGCTCGGGAACACAGGGAGGGAGATGGCTCGCTGAAAGGAATCAAAAAGAGCCAAAACTGGGAAGCCGGCTCTCTCTTTCTTGCCAACCCTACCCTACTTCATGTTCTCATGTTGTTCAGAGCTAGGATGCAGCAACACACCCCTTTTGTGCTTGGCCCGTTTCCAAATCCTTCTGTTTTGGCAGCAATAAAAATTGATTTCAGTTTGGAAATGGCTTGAGGACTTTCCACACTCATCGCCGATCAGGATCGTACAGTTCCCAGGCAAAGAGGGGCACCTGCCCTGCACTCAGCCTCTCTCTTCTCGTTTGTTTGGGACTGGAACTCCGGATCTGGGTTAGACGAGGACACGTGAATCCTCCCGCAGTTCACTGGGTCTTCGAGCATTGTGGCTACAGAGCAAGATCACTTGGCGTTCTGTAAGTCGGTTCTCAAGCAGAGCTCAGAGGGACTTGGAGTTGGGAGGGAAGGGTTTGGTTAAAGGTCTAACTTGTCTTTGCTTAGGCTGTTGGGCCTTCCTAGTGACCATTTGAAATGCTGTCCATTTCGACAAGTATCCTGCAAGCCGCTGTGATTTCTTCCCCCCCCACCAGCTAGAACATTGAGCAAAGCAGGATAACTTTGTACCTGACTACAAGATGGGAATAGGGTCGTTCTGTTTTATGAATCTGAGTTGTCTCCTTGTTGGGTCTTTGGATGGTGCCTCGTGTCAGTGGGCGGGACCTGCCACATGCGGGATTGTCCGACTGACATTTCGTGGTGTCCTCTCTCTGTCTTCTAACATCTGCTCTTTTATGTTTCGTCTGGCATGAAAACTCGCTTTTCTTAATGAACGCATACACGTCAGTAAATTATCTGAAGGCTCCGAAGCTTCCCGTCTCCCTCTTCTGGCTGGAAGATGGATTGCAGTGAAGGGTTGTAGAGATATACTAGTGCCGGGGTGGCCAAACTGTGGCTCGGGAGCCGCATGCGCTCTTTCACACATATTGTGCGGCTCCCGGCAGGACGGCTGGGGAAGCCGAACATCATTAGCAAACAAATATCATTGGGCAAATCATTATCATTATCACTATCTGCTTTTAAAGGTAAAGGTAAAGGTTCCCTTGCTCGAAATTCAGTCGAGTCCGACTCTAGGGTTGCGGTGCTCATCTCCGTTTCAAAGCCGAAGAGCCAGCTTTGGTTGTTATTTTGGGAAGTCTCATTTAATGTTAATGAAAAGCAAATTTTGCATATTTCCCCGTAAAAACGTGTAATATTTGTTCATGCCTTGCGTCTTCCAAACATCTGACATTTATTCTATGTGGCTGTTACATTAAGCAAGTTTGACCAACCCTGTATAACTTTTGGGCTCGACAGATCTCTTCTGCAAGCACAAATGGGATTTTCGGAGTGGAGTTTGAACTTGCATGAGAACCAGTGAGTGAAGTCCATTGGGAAGCTGCACAGGAGAACCCTGTTCACCTAAAGTGACCCCCAACACACACACCCAAAATATGTGTGTTTGCGCCTCCTGATGTCCCATTACCCCTCCAGAGTTTGCATATGTTCGCTAGTCAGGGTTGGGTCAGTAATTTGTGAATGTTATTTTCCATCTCGGACCCTGTAAAAGTACTCCAAGCTACTGGCATTTAAACGTGCCGAGGTAGGAAACGTTAAGTAGGTACATGGGGTTTAGGCAGAGGTGGGGGGGGGAGTATTACTTAGGACAGATAACGAAGGCACGTTTTTGGAATTTAAAAATGTCACGTTTTTCAGAAATATCTTTTAGCCTGTCATCTTCAGCGTTGCCTTACGTTTTCCGTATATTGCAGATTTCTGGGAACGGTTTCCTCTTAGATTAATACGATGTAGAATGTAACGTATGGGGAAAGTCAGTTAAAAAGGGTACAACAGAGAGGAAGGAAACAGCAAGGTTTTACTGACAACCAGGGGTCATTTCGTAGAAAAAGAGGTGCAGGAGCTCATTAGCATAACTCATTTGCATATGCCACACACCCTGAAATCACCGGAAGTGTGTCAAAAGGCAACACCCACCACTCAGGCTCCACTGGACTGTTTTGGACTGCTAGCTATTGGTGGGGGGGGGCGTGCAGATCTGTCCTCACAGAGGAGGGAGAGCTTGTACCTGAATAAAACCTGATCTTAAAGGTGCCACTGGACTGTTTTGGACCGGGGGGTCGGGGGGGGGCTCTGCAACTTACCTGCCTGCTTCTTGCTCTGACTGAGGGCTGCTGGGAGCAGGGGGTGGGGCTTGTTGCATGTGCCCGCCCCCTGGGCTCTTTACTGCCGGAGTTCCGCTCCTGTGCGCTCCTGCAGGAAATGACCCCTGCTGACAACCATTTCCTGTTCACATAAGATAAAGGACAATTTTATATCCCTCCCTCCAAAAAGCAAATCTCTCTCTCTCTCTCTCTCTCTCTCTCTCTCTCTCTCTCTCTCTCTCTCTCATACTAACGAGTTTTGTTAATTGAATCAATTCAAAGTTCTTCCAGGCAGGCTTTAACCATAATAACGTTCTTCTTCTTTAAACCAAAGACACTTCTGCACATTTTTTCCCCCAGCCTTTTATACATAATTGGTAGAAGATTGTTGCTTAAAGCGAATCATTCCCGCACCTCATGGAAGTTTGATTGAGCTAATATCTTGGCTTTCACACCTGAATATCCAACTGATCTACTCTCAGGCTTAAGAGAATTCAGAATCTTCAATGGAACTAGGACCCACCTAGAGAACTAACTTATTAGCTGAAGACGAAATGTCATCTCTATCCCTCCAGACAGCTAAACGGGATTTTAATTTGAAGGTAACCCAAAAAGCTTGTGGGCTGACTAGTGTTAAAATCTTAATGGTGTGTGGTGTAAAGTGATATCAAGTCACAGCGGACCTATGGTGAGCCCAGCAAGGGGCTTTCAAGGCACATGAGAAGCAGAGGTGGTTTGCCAGGGCCTTCCCGTGCAGAGTCTTCCTTGGAGTTGTGCATCCAGGCACTAACCACCAGGGCTGACTTTGCTTAACTTCCAAGATCTGAGAAGATTGGGTTGTCCCATGCCACCTTCTCTCCCCAAATCCTAATAAGAACATAAGAGAAGCCAATGTTGGATCAGGCCAATGGCCCATCCAGTCCAACACTCTGTCACACAGTGGCCAAAGATACCAGGTGCCATCAGGAGGTCCAGCAGTGGGGCCAGAACACTAGAAGCCCTCCCACTGTTGCCTCCCCCCCCCCAAGCACCAAGAATACAGTGCATCACCTGTCCCAGCCTGAGAGTTCCTATCTATACCTTGTGGCTAAGAGCCACTGATGGACCTCTGCTCCATATGCTTATCTAGTTCCCTCTTGAAGCCGTCCATGCTTGTAGCTGCCACCACCTCCTGTGGCAGTGAATTCCATGTGTTAATCACTCTTTGGGTGAAGAAGTACTTCCTTTTATCTGTTCTAATTACCCCTTCTCAAAAAAACTTTCTAATTACCCCTTCCCAAAAGAACTTTCTAATTACCCCTTCCCAAAAAAACTCCTCTGGGTTTACTGTATTTGGTCTACAATCCCATGCATGGTTACCTGAGAGTAAGCCCATTGAACACCACGGAGCTTACCTCTGAGTAAACACACACAAGATTATGCTGTTTGGCTGCCAGGAATGCACGTAAAGAATTTTTGTTATAGGTGAGGTGGTGGAATTTTTAAAGGAGGAGAAAACATTAACTGAGCTTAGTTTTGTCTATAGCAGTAAGCGTCAACAGGTTGAGTAGAACCTCCATGGATCTGAAGAAGTGTGCACGCCCACAAAAGCTTCTACCCATAGGGTTCCCAAATCAGGCCGGAGGGCGGGGAATCCCCCGCTTTGACGGCCCAATTTTCGACGGGACGAAAATCGGGCCCGGGGGAAGCCCCACCCCCGCGTGCGCGTCACCCGGAAGTGACGTCGCACGCTGGGAGCGGGGCCACGCCATTTGAGGGGAAAACAAAGAGTTTTCCCCTCAAATGGCGTTGCCCCGCCCCCAGCGTGTGACATCACTTCCGGGTGGCGCACGTGCACGACCAGGACGCCGGCCAGGAGCTCCCCGCTCCCGGCCAAAAAAAATTGGCAACCCTATCTACCCAGAATTAAACTTTGTTGGTCTTAAAGGTGCCACTGGACTCCAACTTTGTTCTAGAACCTTCATGGTTATGTCTTTGAGGGTGACCGTCACCTTTATGCCCTGCTTGTGGGCTCCTAGAGCTATCTTTCTGGCCACCACCGGAAACAAAGTACCGCGCTAGAGAGACGTCTGGTATGATCCACCAGGACATTCTTTTCTTGTTCTCTCGTGGGTGTGTGCATAACGTGCCGTCAAGTCACAGCTGACTTACGGAATCCCTGTACGGT